GGCATGTACGTACGTGCCATTCCCAGTGGGTTCAATTAAGTAATTGCTTTTACATGATGGCTTCTGAAGTACTACTATGTCACCAATGAGCCAATTACGAGAACTACCTGTCACGTGATTACCCTTTTCCTAGACTTTCGATGATATTTTCCAGCATTAAATGTTTCTGTTAGCAATGTCAATTGATATAGTAATTTGTAATATAGTACTTTGTGATAAACGTAACATAACAAATGAATGAAAAAGACGAAAGCCAATTATATACTGGCCGGGACCACAGGATAGAAAAAGCTGGGAACTTATTCCTTATGAAAATATCTCATGCGTTTAATGATCACTTTTTTGTATTACATATACGAATTATACAATATATTTTTACAATTGTTATTGCTGGATATCATTTCCTTTTTTATCCCTTTTTATTGTATGTCCTCTCTATTTATATACATATTCCATTCTTTTCTTTGTTCTTTTATCGTTTGAATAATTCTTTAGAGTTATTCAGTGATTTCAAAACAAATATCTTTTCTAGAGAGAGAGAAAACAAAACGTATATTATATCTGTATATACATACATACATACATACATACATATATATATATATATATATATATATATATATATATATTTATATATATATATGTATTATATATATTCTAACTTTTAAATGTGTATTAGATATCAAGGTTGATGGATGTATTAATTACTTCGAATGTTGATAAGTAATCAGTTTTCTGTGAAAACAACAAATCAGCCACTATTTAGATACACCAAATACCCTGAAATTGATATGCAAATATATATATATAGAGAGAGAGATTTGGATTTTCTCAGTGATTTCAATGCATTATGATCTGACACTGACCGTTTCAGTAACATGAGAATGGGAAATGGATTCCTATAAACTGATACCTCATGAAACTGCATATCCACTTTTCTTCCAGTTTGGTAAAATAATCATTATGGGGGCAATTATTCATATGAATATGTTTCATAAAAAAGTAGGAGTATTAATAACACAAATAGATTTCATTTCCAATAGTTTCACAATAAACTGTTTTTTAGGCTATCTTTAATGACAAAATCACATGATTTAGCGAAAAATGTGCTCAGTGAAATCGCTGTTATAACAAAGACTACAGAAACGTTGGAGAGTATTACTGTGATATTAACTAAAAGGTTCTTATTACAAAACTACATTACGCAATTTGTGAAGATATACGAGGTTACTAAAATTAGACAACACAGCATTCCACCCCCCTCACCCCCACCCCACCCCCCCCACCAACCCAGTTAAATGAAAAGATATATAGCATGCGTGGACTTGTATTTCAGGAATTAGTAACAAATAGAAGTAGTTGTGATTCACACAATGACTCAATGACGAGAAAGAGAAGAGAAAAGAGTGAACGAAAGAGAGACAGAGAGAGAAAGAAAAAAAAGGAGACATATATATGGCATGTACGTACGTGCCATTCCCAGTGGGTTCAATTTAGTAATTGCTTTTCCATGATGGCTTCTGAGGTACTACTATGTCACCAATGAGCCAATTACGAGAACTACCTGTCACGTGTTTACCCTTTTCCTAGACTTTCAATGATATTTTTCTAGTATTAAATGTTTTTGTTAGCAATGTCAATTGATATATTTGTAATATAGTAGTTTGTGATAAACGTAACATAACTGAATGAAAAAGACGAAAGCCAATTATATACTGGTCGGGCCACAGGATAGAAAAAGCTGGGAACTTATTGCTTATGAAAATATCTCACACATGCGTTTAATCATCACGTTTTTGTATTACCTATACGAATTATACAATATATTTTGTCAATTATTGTTGGATATCATTTCCCTTTTTATCCCTTTTTATTGTATGTCCTATCTACTTATATACATATTCCATTCTTTCTTTGTTTTATCGTTTATAATTCTTTAGAGTTATTCAGTGATTTCAAGAAGAAATCTTTTCTAGAGAGAAAAAAAAACATACATACATACATACATACATATATATATATATATATATATATATATATATATATATATATATATATATAATATATAAATATATATATATATAATATATATATATATATATATATTGTATATATATAATATACATATATAATATATATATATATATATATATATATATATATATATATATATATATATATATATATATATATATATATTCTACACACCGTTTCAGTAACATGAGAAGGAAATGTAATTCCTATAAAATGATACCTCATGAAACTCTTTTACATTTCTTCTTTTTTGTGTATATCCACTTTTCTTCCAATTCGGTAAAATAATCATTATGGGGGCAATTATTCATATGAATGTTTCATTAAAAAAAGTAGAATATTAACAAATTGCCATTTCCAATAGTTTCACAATCTTTAAAGACTTTTTTAGGCTATCTTTAATGACTTTTTAAAAATCACATGATTTAGCGAAAAATGTGCTCAGTGAAATCGCAGCTGTAGTTATAACAACAAATAAAGACTATACAGTGAAACGTTGGAGAGTATTACTGTGATATTAACTAAGAGGTTCTTATTACAAAACTATATTACGCAATTTGTGAAGATATACGAGGTTACTAAAATTAGACAACACAGCGTTCCACCCCCTCACCCCCACCCCCCCACCCCCCACCAACCCAGTTAAATGAAAAGATATATAGCATGCGTGTACTTGTATTTCAGGAATTAGTAACAAATAATTAGTTGTGAGAGATTCACACAATGACTCAATGACAAGAAAGAGAAGAGAAGAGTGAACGAAAGAGACAGAGACAGAGAGAGAAAGAGAAAGAGAAGGGGGGAGTAAGAGTTTTTTTTGTTTCTTTTACTTTTTGTAATCCTTTTTAACTTTTTTTTTATTTTGCGTATTTGGGGCTAATTTTGTTCCTTGCTTCGATTCTTGTAATTTGTTTTATTTCTTGCAACCACGTTTTTATCATTATTATTTTCTCTCCCATATTCTCGCACTCCTAAACCTCCCTCATTCACTCCATTAATTTTTTCGTTTTCTCTTCTCTCTCATTCCCTCACGCTCTCGTACATTTCAAAAAAAAAGATAGATTTGAATGAATAAAAACATAAAAGTTCTTATTGATGCGCTATGATTAGATCATCATTAATAGGAATTTATCTTTCGTGCACTAAAGTTATTTATTAATTAAATTTTCTTCTATTTTTGTCACTCTATATTCTGACCATCTGATATTTTTGTTTCACCTTTTATCACCGTTCTTAATCATTTTGTTTCTCATCTGGTTTTCAAATTTGATTTTTTTTTCCACCATCACCTTTTTCATTCTACTTCTTCTCCTCTCTCTTCCGTTTTCCTGTCGCATTTATTACACCAACTATATGTCTCTCTCTTTTTCTCTCGCTTCCTTCGTTTCTACATTTTCACTTTTTCTCCGACAATTCCTTCCCTTTTCACACGACCCCAATAACGACACATCAGAGTTCGAGGACGACAGTGAGGGAGGGAGAAGGAAAGGGAGGGAGGAAGAGAGGGAGAGGGAGAGAGATAGTGGGAGGGAGGAAAAGAGGGATAGACGGAGAGGAAGAGGGAGACATAGATAGAAAGATAAATAGAAAGAGAGAGAGAGAGAAAGAGAAAGAAAGAGAGATCTAAAAATAGAAAAACAGACAGACACAGAAAGAGAGACCAGAACCTGCTGGAGAGATGACCGACAAGATCCAAAAGCACCCATTCAATATATATATATATATATATATATATATATATATATATATATATATATATATATATATATACACACACATACACACGCACACACAAAGGAGAAAAAGGGAAAATACAAAAGACGAACAAACATACGAAAACATATATGTATGTATATACATATTTACATATATATGTAAACATATGGGAGGGAAAAATATAATAAAAAGGAGAGACAGAGAAACAATATTGACAAATAAATTTTAAAAAACGCACGCAATAAAAGGAATAAAAATACAAGAAAGATGATAAAAAAGAAAAAAATAAGAGAAATAATAATGAGAGAAAGGTCGCCAAGAACACCAAAAGAAGGAAGAGGAAGACAATGATGAAAAGGGAGTAGGGAGAATGAAGAGGATTTGTGACGT